ATCAAAATGTCATAACCCCCCCCCCCCCCAGAAAAACTAACAATTATGTCTTTTAAAACGTTTTTTTTGTTGGGTTTATATAATAATGATTTAGTTTCTCATTATGAGATTTTAAGTTATTCCAAGAAGGTATCTCATTGTTATGACGTACCGGGAGGGCCCGCAGCGCACACGGGCCCTGCCCACATTGCAAATGACTATATTAATATAAATTAATAATAAACGTAGTAATAATAAAGTATAATTAGTAACTAGATTCTTCACAGTACTGAATAAATACATAAATTCGCGTGAGTTGTGTGTGGGTCTAGTGGTAGAACTTTTGTCAAGCATTTCCGAGGTTCTGGGTTCTAATCCATGTAGTTTTTTCTCTCTCTCTCATTTAAAACCAAAGGTGTTCATCAGTGATTGTATATCAAGAGCAAGGACATGTTTGTGTACGTTTTGTTTTGTGCTTTTACCAGAACAAAGCGTACGATCGTCTGTGTGAAGACCAGTGCCAGAACTGATAACAGCAGCAACGAGCGCTCGCCATAACACATCCCAGCGAGAGATCGCCTGATATTTAACACAGACCAACGCCTTTGTTATCAAAGGGAGATGTTTCTTTAGGTACATCCGTGCGTGCCGCAAGATGTTGCAAAAAGTGGCGGGGGGTCGTGGGGACACACGTCCCACCCGTAAATAATAATATACAGAGGCGGACAAAGTACTCAACTCCATTACTTGAGTGAAAGTACAGATACTGCTGGTCAAATATTACTCCATTACAAGTTGTAAAGACAGATTTTTACTTAAGTACTTTTAAAAGCAAGTACTTCTGTACTTTTACTTAAGCACCAAAAGTAAATTTCCTTATTTATGTCAATGCACTGTTTTATTATTGTTGTATGTAATACTTGCAATACTTCTGAAGCAACTTACAATACATTACACCTACTGAATACACTGACTAGCTTGTAGTATCTTTGGAATAAAGAGCTTTTAGAATGTTAAAAACCTATGGGGGAAAATAATTATTTAACACCCCTACCCCCCCCCACAAAAGCAGGATGATAGTGATCTCACTCATGTCAAATTTGCCGTCACTCCCTCAGCCGTTGTATAGAAACACCCTCGCAGCAGCGCTAATTCTTTTTTTGTTTGTCATTTATGTGGGGTCTCCTCATAGGAGTGTGTATGCCCAGCAAACAGTGGACATCCCCCAGACGTTCTGAACGTCCAGTTAGGTCCGCAGTATGTCCGCTTTGTAACGTTCAATGTTAAAGTGATTATATTGTGTTTAATTTTTAATAAAGTTAATTTAGAAAAACGTTTGGAGCATTTTTGTTCGTTAAATGTAAGTTTTTTTTAAAGTAACGACCAAGCGGCCAGCGGCAGACAGTGAGCTGATCATAGCCTATGTTTGATCAATTTAGCCTTCTCAAATCATCACCACTTGCCTAAAATAAAATCTATAGATATAAAACAGTTTAAGCATATCACAATGTTAGTTTAAATGTTTAAACGATATAAATGTGCGCTATTAGGCGCATATCTAATCGTTTGTGTGAAGAGTGGAAGCTGAAGTGCACTTTGCAGGACATGGAAGCGCCAGCGCGATCATTCATTTGCATTTTTTTCTTGATAGTGGAAACAACTTGAAATACGCCGTTATTTTAGCTCATAAAGGTAAGAGTAATACATTCGGTAATGTAAAGGGTCTACTTTTATGTGTGTGCATTCACGATATCAACAAAACGTTGTGCTTTTATAAAATAAATATGAAAACAAGAGGATAGTTGACATCTATTAGTATCCGAAAGTTTCTTATTATGAGATGTCGAGTCACTATTACGAGATGCTAATTAGATGAATTATTATCATAAGAACATTTTCCATTATTACAAGACAGTTTCTCATTGTTACAAGGCAATCACTAAACATCTCAAAATAGTAAGAAACATAAGAAATAAGTTATGAGGAATTTTTATGAGAAACCAGGACATTATTACATGAGAGTTTCTCATTATTATGAGATGTTTAGTCATTATTGCAAGATATTAATGAGGAAATAAATTATGACAGTTTCTCATTAAATTTTTTTCCTCATAATATTGACTTGAAATGTTACAATAATTGAGAAACTTAAGTTTATGAGAATTTTTCTCATTATTACCAGTGGCGGCTCGTCAGGGGAGGCACAGTTTCCCCATAATTTTGAAGTGAAAATGGGAGGAGGACGATTTAATGTTAATAAAATTCACAATTCATTTCAGTTCATGTCTCAGAATGTGTATATTTTGTTGACAATTTCACAGTTGTAATACCATAACGTGAAAGCGCCGCATCTGCTGATGTAGCCTAATTGCAACCGCTAATGATAGAGAAGGGTAGGGGGAGGCGCTGAGCTCTCGTGCCTCCGTTGGTAAAAAAAAAAAAAAATAGCCTATCACCATCAAGTGTTCACTTTCAGCGCTGAGGAGTGTTGAGAAAAGAAACCTCGTAGGCTAGCCTCCCTTCTCATATCAACCAATCATCACAGAGACGTAAATTACGTGATATTAGTTTGAACGTCTGCCGCTGCTCTGATAATGTACCAAGTACTTATGATGAGTAGCGATATTGAATATTTGATTGCCAACAGATTTACCAAGCTGTCATTCAAACAGTATACAAATTTTAAAAAAAGGAAAACAGCCTAAGCTGGATATACAGCAGTCGGCTTAATTAAATGGCGCAACAGGCAGCTCTCTTTTATCACAGACTTTTAAGAAGGGATGGATGTTTGCTTCAAGTGATAGGCCAGGTAAATGAAATTATATTATCTTGCTGTATGCATGTCGTTTTCTTTACATTTTCTGACTAAAAGCAACTAAAAAGCTAATTTAAAGTGGTTAAGCAAATAATAATAATAATAATCGACAGGGATCCCAGACCAATACAATTAGTGTGCCTCCTCTATTTTAAAACCCACGAGCCGCCACTGATTATTACTACAAATGTTCTTCTAATTATGAGATGTTTCTGAATTACAGAATTTCTACTTAACTGTAGCAGAAATGGGCTTCCACAATTTTTATACATGCAGTGAAAGTCGATTTGGGTCTGAAACTTGTTAGTTTGGTCAGTACAGCACAAGTAGGTTAACGGCACCAGCAGTCCAGTCCTATCGGCTCTGATTGCCTTTATCAGTCCTGTGCAGCAGGAAGAAAGGGGTGTTAACCTTACATGACTGAGGTTAGTTTCCAAACAGTAAAGCCTAGACTCTGAAGTGATTACGGAGAATTAAAAAGAGATGGAAATAGTTATGCTAAATACAACTACTGACATGTGACTTTGTTTTCCCTAAAAGGAATAAAGACTTTTTCCAACTGGCCGACGATTCCACAGGTGTTCATCAATGGTGAGTTTTTTGGCGGCTGTGATATTCTTCTTCAGATGCATCAGAGTGGAGATCTGGTAGAGGAACTTCAGAAGCTGGGAATCAGATCAGCTCTCCTGGATCAAGAAAAAGAGTCCAAGTAGGAGTCTAGTCAGCAAAGACTAGTCTTTGGGATGATTGTTGTTACATTGATGTAAACCTCCCAAAGGTTTGACTTGTGAATGGAGACTTGACCTGCTGAAGTCCAAACTGTCCTCAGCTTACTGAAGGAAGTGATGTCAAACCTTCCAAATTCTGAAAAATCACTGTAAAACACTTTACATAGAATTACCGTATTACAAATGATTGCATTTTCTATTGCAGTATGTTTGTCTTTATTTCAGATACTCTAATGCTAGACCACTGCATATTTAAAATGTTGTATTTTCAAATATAGTATTAAATGTATTTTAGATGTATATCATTTTTTGTCAATAAAATATTTTAAAGCCCCCATTGTTTGAAACTAAATCTGCTGGGTGTGTCACAAGATTATGAATTCTGTGTATCTGATATCATTAGGAAGAATATGCTTGTTGATTCAGAAAGAGATTTCCCTCTTCCTCATTCTGTAAAGCAGGGGTGCCCAAACTCGGTGTCCTGCAGAGTTTAGCTCCAACCCCAATTAGGCACACCTGAACAAGCTAATCAAGCTCTTACTAGGCATGCTAGAAACTTCCCGGCAGGTGTGTTGAGGCAAGGACTTTGGAGCTAAACTGCAGGACACCGGCCCTCCAGGACCGAGTTTGGACACCCCTTCTTTAAAGCCTGTATAGTTGTCAGTCAGGTGTTATTTCTTGTCTAAAGACATGTTTAGAATTTGTCCTGCCAGAGAGAGAGAGAGAGAGGGTAATACTCAAAACTTTTGTGCCAGTAACTTGTGTAAGATGTTCTAATCGTGTGGAGCAACAGTATCTATTTAACCTTAATGGTGAGACGTTTTTAAAGATCTTTGCAGATGCAGTTCTGTGAGAGAAAATACATGAACAGCTCCTACTTGATACTTACAAGTATGAAGAGATTCACCTTATTGTTTCAAGGGTTTTGTATTTCAACTCCTAACTTATATATTCACTGTAGATCGTACAAAGCAGTGTCATTGACAAAATTTGGAGTCTGATAAGGGCATTAAACAAGAAACATTGTGTGTGTGTATTATTTATATATATATATACACACACACACACACATACATACACATGCAGACATAATATGTAATAGTAAATTCTGTGTTGGAAAAAAAAAGTGGTAATTGTTGTTTCACCTGTGTCCACTAGAGTACGCAATAGTATTTTACAGACTATTGACATTCTGAAATGTTCATTAATTACAGAATAGCAAAACTGATGTCATTAACAACAGATTACTGATGAGTATCAATGGGGAAAAAAGGAAATTTATAAAAATTTAGATAACTTAATTTGATTATTTTCATAAAATTTAGTTACATTTTAAAAATTGTATTTTAATGGTTACTAATATTACTTTAATTATACATTCAGGTTGGTTTAATTTGGTTTTTGAAAACCAAGAAAAGTTTATAAATTTAGTTTCAAGGGGGAAAAACATGAAATTTCTAGAGACTTGCGACACACGACAAACTAATTTTGCTTGTCATAAAAAGGTAGAAATATCTGATATTTTAAGAGACTTTTTGGCCTTGACTCTAAGTTATGAGGGTCAGCTTGGAGACCTTTTCAGGATTTAATTTTATTTTTTTATAAAATTAAATAAAATACCCAGATGTGTGTATTACTTAATGCCCCAGTATCAAAATAAAATATATGGTCATCATAGAGGTGGTTTATTCAGTTTTTTTATATCTATAGTTTTTATATCTACATTACATTTGTAATATATTTTTTAATGATTTAATATATTGAAATGTAGAAATGTTTTAGGATATATATATATATATATATATAATTTTTTTTTTTAGTAAAACATGCCTGATTTGCCAGCTGCAACAATCTGCCTGCATTCACCGTCCTCTCAAAAGCCTTCACATCCCAGCACTCCTTCGCCTCCCTCTAAGCTGGTTGCTAGGCGACACCAGGTTTTCTAATATGAGGCAGAGGGAGCAGTGAATGCCACTATTCTCCAGGTGAATTTTGTTTGCCAACAGAATCAGGTCATTGGTGCCAGTGCCTGAAGAGTTTCTGACACCTCCTTTGCTGTAGGTAGATGTAGATAGCTGAGACCCGAGCAGGAAGAAGGTACTACAGCAGCTGTCAGAGCTACATCTTCAAAAACACTCAGAAATGGAAATCTAAAAGTGTCAGTTCGGTATGAATTTCCATGGCGTTAATATAAACACTGGTGCCAGAACCTCCAAGTCCAAATCCCTGGCTCGACACTTCTGGCACGCAATAGACTGCTCATCTGATTTTTGGAAGATGTTTTTCTGGAAGAAATCAAAGACGGGAAAGAAATGGTGTAAGCATCTCATATAGCCATAGTCAACACATAGGCTACTGTGTGAAGATGGATCTAAATAAGCCTTTGTCCATAGGTGGGCTAAGGAGGACCAAACCTTGTAGTCCTGGAACATGGTGAGACAGAATTTTCCACAATCTTTCCCAGATAAGATGATTTAAGGTGAGGAACTTTTCCAGATGCTGTGTCAGGTAGGCACCTCATTAACATGATCATATAAAGTTAAAGCAGTTGAGATTAAATAGGTTGAACTAGCCACTAGGGGTCAGCAGTCTACCTTACATTCAAGTGTTTATGCAGAAACAGGCCTTGTAAACAAGAGATGCTCTGTCTGAGTTAGTGTAATGCAATTTAATGTCCAAGAAGAAAAGGTCTGGCTGAACCCTCTGGAGAACCTCTAGCTTGCGTTTAAAAAAAATAGAGGTATCAAAAGGGATTTTTTTTGTATCAATGCAATTTTGAGCTCAAAGAACCTTTCCGTTCTTAAAAGAACCATTTTTCTTAGTGTGAAAGACATTTTAATCATCCGAAGAACCGTTTTCCACTATAAAGAACCTTTTGTGCAATGGAAAGCTTCCATCGATGTTAAATGGAACCAGAGCTGCCAATAAAGAAACTGCCGTTGTGTGTAGGAACCCTTTTCAGGGATTTTTTTAAACATTTGTACTCAAGGAACTTCAAATACATTTCAAGTGCTTCAAAACGATTTATCTTATTATGGGGTTATTAGAGGAACCTTTGACAGTTTGTCTTGCAGAAACTTTTTCATAGAATTTTCCTCCTCGAATAGGTTATTCAGTCATTTGGCACAAAGTTGTCTCACAGCAAGAAGTTTGAGTCCAGGCGTGGGTTCCTCCATGCTCTCTTCAGTTTCCCCCACAAACCAAAGACACGCAGCATAATGTGAACTGGCATTGTTTGTGAGTGTGAAGGTGTGACTGTCCATCTGGCCATCATAATGCTGCACCACAGTGACCCTACACAGAACAAGTGATTTGGAATAATTGATGGAGGTTTTTCGAGAGGGTTCAGCCACCTTTAACAAATTATTGGATCAGATTAAACATGAGTTGTCATTTGACCCTTTTGCTAGCATGGGGTCTCACCAAGGTGACAGTACCAAATATTCAGAGAATGCAAATGTTAACTAGTATACATTAATTTTAGGAGATAATTAAAATATATATATATCCATGACATAACATTGCACTAATTTCATGACTATTGCACTCAGAATGTGCTACATTTTCTTCTTCATTTGTTATGGCATAATTTATGAAAGCTCTCTCTTTCATCATTTATTCTCCTCTCGGTGTAAAAGGGATCTGTCATTCTCATGCAGACAGGCTTCAAAAAGACACTGACCCACCAGGCGAAAATGCTGAACTATGCGATCACCCATCAATCCCCAAGACCACAGAAGAGGGAGAGCAGGGAAGAGTCCATCCTGGCCTTTCTGGGGATTGTTGGGACCATCCTCAACCTACTTGTCATTATTTTTGTCTACAGCTATACTTCTATCTGACTCTAGACTCTGACATGTGTGATTGTACTTTCCATGGGGGAAGATTTACTTCCCAGATACTTGATCAAAGATGAGATGTACTGTAGCATGTGTATTACCTCACAGACATTTGAACATTACTGAATTATGTGGGTAATCAACCAATCCAGATCTGCCTTTCGGATACAACACACTGATGAACAGTTATTGGTAGCATAAATTCATCTCATGTCTAGAATTAAACATTATGGTGCATAGTTCCCTATGATCAAATTATGTCCAACATGATCTCTGTGATCAAAACAATACTTTTTATATTTATAAATTTCTTCAGATATGCTGATTTGTTTGCTAAAAGAAACTGATTTTAGCCGATTTCGTTTAACCTTTACAACTTTTTTAGAACTACAGTTTTGAATATAATATGAGGATGAAATACGATAGACCTTAGTCTGGTTTGGTACCATATTTAATTTTTATACAGAAATGAAAACAAGGCTGTGTGTGATACAAATGCGGTCAGATTTTATTGTCATTTTACTGCAGTTGTACTTTGTTGTATAGTTTTGATTTCCTTTCCTCCCATAGAGATAAACAGAATTATGAAAAGCATAAAATGAAATATTTTTAACAGTGCATGTTTGTTCATGAAATTCTATGCAGTTTTATGCTTTTGTTAGCATGATGCCTAAGAGTAGCCAGCTCCTTTGAGGATATTGTAGGACTAAGTAACAGTGTTTGTGGTAATGCAATACCCCATCAACTTCGGTCAGAAATCTTGGTGTAACTTTTGATAACCAGCTGACCTTCAAAGACCACATTGCAAAGACCGCTCGAACTTGCAGGTTTGCATTGCACAACATCAGAAAGATCAGGCCCTTTCTAACGGAGCATGCGGCACAACTTCTTGTCCAGGCCCTTGTCATCTCTAGGCTGGACTGTAAATGTAAATGCAATACAAGTAATGAGAGTTATGTAATCAGATTACTTTTTTTTCAACTAACTAGTAAAGTAACACATTACTTTTTAATTTACAGGAAAATATCTGAGTTACTTTTTCAAATAAGTATCAGCAGAGACTGATACTCTAATGTAAGTGTAAGAACTAGAAGTGTTGGCACAGCTGATTGGTTTGAGAGTTTATCGGTAGCCAATGAGCTCGCTGCTCAACATTCAAATATATGACCAATGCTTGCTGTAGCAGTGCAGCTTGCTTCAGAAACCCTCCACCTTCCCCAGCTCCACCTGTATACAATCTATATATAGATCTGCTACAAGGTGATTCATGTATGCTATATGGGGGGTTATTTCATGTACGTTATATTTGCAGCAGCAACATTTCTTACATGCTCACAGCAGAATGTTGTGGATGTATTGGCAGTAGCAAGTCTCGGTACTTGCTCTGCCGCAGCAGCGTAGCAGATCTATTCCGCCAAGACCAAGCAATGACTAAATGTAAATGCAATACAAGTAATGAGAGTTATGTAATCAGATTACTTTTTTTTCAACTAACTAGTAAAGTAACACATTACTTTTTAATTTACAGGAAAATATCTGAGTTACTTTTTCAAATAAGTATCAGCAGAGACTGATACTCTAATGTAAGTGTAAGAACTAGAAGTGTTGGCACAGCTGATTGGTTTGAGAGTTGAGAGTTGTCATGACAGAACTGTAGTTCTTGTGATCATGGATTTATTCATTTATTCATCTCATGTGCACAAAAACAGATTTGATATTCTTCAAAATGAATAGAAACTGTAAAATGCTCAAATATGACACAAACCTGCAATAATTAAATATGTTAAATAGCACAAATATATTTTATCTATTTAATCATTTTTCATTAACTAATGTATTTGCTGCTGACCTTCGGTGATCCAATTAAACCATACTAATAAGCAAAAATGACATTACAGAGATAAACATCGATAAACTTTTTTTTTTTATTGCTGAAGAGTGATGAACTTTCTTCTCCTGCGTCCAGAATGGCAGCACAGCCAAAATGTTTAGTTGAACGTGAATTTACTTTTCATTCAGCCTGAGGGAATGAAAGGGCTTTTACATTTGCCAAAAAAATTGATTTTTTTAATATATATAAAAAAGCAAGCCCAGCCCAGGTGAGAAAAAGTAATGCAGTAAAATAACATATTAGTTTCCATAAATAGTAACACAATTAATTACTTCTTTAGGGAGTAATTCAATATTGTAATGCATTACTTGAGAGTTGTCATGACAGAACTGTAGTTCTTGTGATCATGGATTTATTCATTTATTCATCTCATGTGCACAAAAACAGATTTGATATTCTTCAAAATGAATAGAAACTGTAAAATGCTCAAATATGACACAAACCTGCAATAATTAAATATGTTAAATAGCACAAATATATTTTATCTATTTAATCATTTTTCATTAACTAATGTATTTGCTGCTGACTTTCGGTGATCCAATTAAACCATACTAATAAGCAAAAATGACATTACAGAGATAAACATCGATAAACTTTTTTTTTTTTATTGCTGAAGAGTGATGAACTTTCTTCTCCTGCGTCCAGAATGGCAGCACAGCCAAAATGTTTAGTTGAACGTGAATTTACTTTTCATTCAGCCTGAGGGACTGAAAGGGCTTTTACATTTGCCAAAAAAATTTATTTTTTTAATATATATAAAAAAGCAAGCCCAGCCCAGGTGAGAAAAAGTAATGCAGTAAAATAACATATTAGTTTCCATAAATAGTAACACAATTAATTACTTCTTTAGGGAGTAATTCAATATTGTAATGCATTACTTTTAACTTAAAGTAACTTTCCCCAACACTGCTAACTAACTCCCTAACTAACATTAATGCTAACATGGACACTAACTCTTATCATTAACACTAACCCTAACTCTAACCAGTTCTGCCGCTAACCTTAATTCCATTCACTTCTTGCCACCCATTTAACCTAGCAATAATATTAACCCTAGCTGCTTCATTATTAAAATGATAGTTCACCCAAAAATGAAAATTCTGTCATATTCACCCTCAAGTTGTTTCTTTAACTTGTTGAACACAAAATAAATGTATATATACACAAAATAAAGAATGTTGGGTAACCAAACAGTTAACGGTAGCCATTGACTTCCATAGTATGGAAATAAATAAATAATAATAATACTATTAAAGTCAATGGTAACCATTAACTGTTTGGTCTACAGTGTGATTTCCCGTTTGATCCTGCTATTTGATGACCAATTAGCAACTTCATTATTTTGTGTGACAGACTGAAGTGTACAAACTCATTTCAGTTTGAAAAATATAAGCTAAAAAAAGATATGCTCCATGAATGAAATAATGGCCACACAATTAGTGCCCTGCACAGGCTCAACTCTCAGTTGATGTTAGCATTATAAGCTAATTCTGACTCTAATAAGCTAAAACCCTAACTCTAACCAGTTCTGCCGCTAACCTTAATTCCATTCACTTCTTGCCACCCATTTAACCTAGCAATAATATTAACCCTAGCCGCTTCATTATTAAAATGATAGTTCACCCAAAAATGAAAATTCTGTCATATTCACCCTCAAGTTGTTTCTTTAACTTGTTGAACACAAAATAAATGTATATATACACAAAATAAAGAATGTTGGGTAACCAAACAGTTAACGGTAGCCATTGACTTCCATAGTATGGAAATAAATAAATAATAATAATACTATTAAAGTCAATGGCAACCATTAACTGTTTGGTCTACAGTGTGATTTCCCGTTTGATCCTGCTATTTGATGACCAATTAGCAACTTCATTATTTTGTGTGACAGACTGAAGTGTACAAACTCATTTCAGTTTGAAAAATATAAGCTAAAAAAAGATATGCTCCATGAATGAAATATTGGCCACACAATTAGTGCCCTGCACAGGCTCAACTCTCAGTTGATGTTAGCATTAAAAGCTAATTCTGACTCTAATAAGCTAAACTTTAATAATATATATATAAATATAAAATAGATATAAATAGTTCAATATATGCAAGAAAGACAAGGCCAGTCACAATTACGTTTGCAAATACAACCTTTCACATTTTAGTTTCAAATATATTACAGTAAGTAGTATGCAGCTTACAAAAAAAACAACAACTCTACATTCAACAACTAGATCATCAAAATAAACTTCATTTTATCCTAAAATAAATAAACATGCAGTTTTATGACTCCATATTCATTGAATTAATTTAAAGGGATAGTTCACACAAAAATTAACTACTATCAATAGACTGTTGTAAATAGACATTGTTTATTTACATATAAAAGCAGAAGAATAAAAAAAGAAGTTTGTGAATTATCATTATTGTAATCACAGTTATATGGTTCAATCAGATTTTTTCAATTAGATTCCACCCACCTCCACTCTAAATAAGGTACAAGATTGTTTACATTATCAGAGGTTGTTTGATTGGTAAAGTAAGGAGTAGCCATCTGTAAATCTTTCTTGAGTGTGATGTTTCGCTGAGCATCTGCTATGTCAATTATACAGAATAGAAGAGTGTGCTATGTTAAGTTCCTCCCCTGTGGGAATCAGGCAGCTGGGTATCAGTGCACACTGGGTTAATTAAAAGAGATGTGACATCATCTTTGCATTAACGTATCCCTCTCTTATCATTGTGATGTATCGAGCCCTGGAGCTGAATGATGGGAACACAGAGGACTGGTGACAAGCCTTCAACAGCCTGAGAAATGCAGACATAAAGAGAAGGAGGTGGTGGAGGAAGGAAGAGAAAATGAGTGGGAGAGAGAGAACAAAAATGCAGTTGTCCAAACTGCCTTCTTCATTTTATTTCCAATTGTATCCACATTTGTGATTATGTCTGATGTTACAAATGTTACAGTAAAATGACATGTCATATTAACTTATTTAAACAGCATTAGGCCTATGTGTTGTACTGTACTGCAAAAATACAAAGGCAAAACAATTACATGATAAATTGGATTAATATGCATGGATGTGTTATATAATTAAGTACTCATTTAACAGGGTTGCCAACCAGACATGTTAATTTAAATAATTAAATAATTCTGGTTCCGATTCCTCTTAACAAATCCAATTCCTTAACAGTCCCATTAGTTTTCCATTACTTTTGGGGAACAAATGGGCTATTTAAAGAAGAAAAATGCTATTCCATAAATAAAGAGATAATTCATACAAAAGTAAGCCTACAGGTATAATGAGGACAACCCAATAATTGGCCTTAACTATATATTGTTCTGTTTCTT